TGGGACTTTATTTTATTTCAAATGTTGTTAAGCCGCTTAGATACCGCCACATCCACACGTTTTGAGCTGGAGCAAGGGGATAGTGTCGATACAATCCCTAGTTTTGAGGAACTAGAGGAGTTCCTTACCAAACAATGTACCGCCTATGAAGCAGTTGCCTTCAGCGCTCCCTCTGCGCCTAAAAGAACCCCGCAAACTTCTAAAGCTTTACCGCCACCAAATAATAGTTTTTCCAAACCGCGTCAAACAAATAGTTACCTAAACAATGTCGCTACCAATTTATGTCCGTTATGCAATGTTGACCATTTACTTTACAAATGTCCAAAATTCTTGGACAAAACGCCACGTGATAGGTTTGAACTTATAAAGACACGCAAATGGTGTGTCAATTGTTTAAGTTCGAAACATACATTGTTTGCTTGCCGATCTGAAAATGTTTGCCGTACATGTAGCAAGAGACACCACTCGCTTATTCATTTTACAGAAAATATTAATTCTAATCCTGCATCTTCGCAATCGCACGCTATCGCATCTACTTCCGCTACGCTCTTGTCTAATTCTAACGCTTCGCACTCTATTTTACTCGCAACCGCTGTCGCTGAAATATTAGATTCGCGCAATAAATATCAAAAAATCCGCATTTTACTTGATTCCGCAAGTCAGTGTAACATAATTACACAATCATGCGCAACTAAACTCGGTCTCCGATCTACTAAATCGCCGTTGTCCATTAAAGGCCTGGGTTCCATGAATGTCTCCGCCACACTTTCCGCAGAATGTCATATTCGCCCCGCAAATAATAAAAATTCGAATTTAGACTTTGATGCCATAATTTTACCGCAAATTTGTAACCACATGCCAACTTCTGTCATTATGGCAGATTGGCCACACATTTCAAATTTAAAACTCGCTGATCCGCAATTTTGTTCTCCCGGAGATATTGACATGCTGTTAGGTGCTGAGATTTTCCCATACATTTTATTACCAGGACGCGTTCAGGGTTCTAAACATCATCCCGTCGCGCTAAACACCATTTTTGGCTGGGTTCTCATGGGAAAAATTGGCAGCTTACCTGCTCCTCAAGTTAACAATTTCTTAACGATTTCCAATGACGAACTAAATAATACGCTTAAAATGTTTTGGCATGTTGAAGAGGTACCCAAAAAATTGGCCATTTCCGATGATGACAAACTTTGTGAAACGACTTTTACTAAAACACATACTCGCAATACCGCCGGGCGTTACTGTGTTACGTTGCCATTTAAAAATACCGCTCCGCAATTTAATAATTCTCGCTTTCCCGCCTTAAAATGTTTTTACAACTTAGAACGCAAACTTGCCGCAAACCCGGATTTATACGCACAGTATTCAGGCTTTATGCGTGAGTACCTGTCAGAAGGGCATATGGAGGAAATCAAAAATATTTACCCCAATGAAAACGCATATTACATTCCTCATCATGCCGTCGTGACATCTAAGTTACGTGTCGTGTTTAATGATTCCTTTAGAACCGCGAACAATTTATCGCTTAACGATGCTCTTTTGATTGGCCCAAAATTGCAGCAAGACCTCCTGTCAATTTTACTTAATTTTCGCTTAAATCGAATCGCTTTTACCGCCGATATTCGCCAAATGTACCGTCAAATTGAAGTTACGAAAAGTCATCAAGATTTTTAAAGAATTTTGTGGCGCTTCTCGCCTACGGATCCCGTTTCTACCTATCGCTTGTTAACTGTAACGTACGGGGTAAATTCTAGCCCATTTTTGGCTATTCGCACTATCCAGCAGTTAGCTAATGACGAAGGCAGGGATTTTCCGCGCGCCGCCAATGTTCTAAATAATGACATGTACGTCGACGATATTGTGTCTGGCGGATCCACGTTGGATGACGCTAAAAATCTACAGAACGATTTAATAAGTATTTTAGGCAAAGGGGGTTTTGAACTGCGAAAATGGGCAAGTAACTGTCCTGCGTTACTCGCGCACCTACCGGAATCGCATAAACAAGTAGGTTCTTGTGATTTTGAACAAGAAACCACCGTAAAAATACTTGGTTTACGGTGGAACTCCGCCACTGATAGTTTTCTATATCAGGTTGAACCGCAACAAAATTCTACTTGTACAAAGCGCACTATTTTATCACAAATCGCACGAATTTTTGACGTTGTTGGCTTTCTTTCTCCCGTCATAATAACCGCTAAATATCTGGTACAACATTTATGGAGCTTAGGGCTTGATTGGGATGAACCACCCCCCGCAGATGTGTTAAATAAATGGCAAACCTTTAAATCTGAATTACCGCTTCTTTCTAATGTTTCTATCCCGCGTTTTGTTGCCGCTTTAACTCAGTCGTGTCAACTACATGGCTTTTGTGATGGTTCAGAAAAAGCCTACGCTGCCGTTGTTTATTTACGCATCTCTCCAAATGATTCTGACCAGGCGCAAGTTTACTTAATATGCGCAAAATCGCGCGTCGCACCGCTTAAACGTCTCTCGGTTCCACGCTTGGAATTATGTGCCGCTGTTTTGTTGGCCGATTTGCTTTATTATGTTTACGAAACATATAAAAATAAATTAACATTTGAGAATATTTATGCCTGGTCCGACTCTACAATTGCTTTATCATGGATTAAATCCTCGCCGCACCGTTGGCTTACTTTCGTTGGCAATCGAGTAAGTCATATTCAAAGTAAAGTTGCGCCGGAAAATTGGAGACATGTCTCTACTCTTTGTAACCCAGCAGATTGTGCGAGCCGTGGTGTAATGCCGTCCGAAATCGTCTCACATGCACTGTGGTGGACGGGGCCGCCGTGGCTTCAGCTGCCTGAATCGTCGTGGCCACGTACGTTGAATTCGGTTGATAATACGCTAGCGGTCTGCCATGAGGAACGCAAAATTACGCTTGCTAATGTTATTGAAACAACTCCTCTTGATAATTTAATACATAAATATTCGTCGCTAAATAAATTACAACGCATCATCGCATATGTTCTCCGCTTTATAAATAACGCAAAACCCGCTCACACAAAACGCACCGATTTTTTTACTCAAAGTGAATTACATGATTCATTATTAGTTTTTGTAAAATATGTACAAAAAGTTCACTTTTCTGCCGAAATTTCTGCGCTATTAAAGCATCGCCCTGTATCTAAATACTTACGCAAATTAAATATTTTTCTTGACTCTAACAATATTGTTAGGGTGGGGGGACGGCTTCGACACTCGAATTTGAGTTTTGAACAAAAACATCCCGCGTTATTACCTGGTAACCACCGCTTTAGTAGAAGATGGGGTGGTACGAGATGGTAATTAAATGATTGATTAATGACCCACCTTGACAGGTGTGTGTAATTAAGGGTTTGATTAGTGCCGACACAGGGTAATTAAGGGATTGATTAGTGCCGACACAGGGTAATTAAGTGATTGATTTATGACCCCTTTGACTGTTTGATGTAATTAAAGCGATATGGGATACTTTTTGGCTGTAATTAAAGTGCTTAATTTATGACCATATTGACATGTGGTGTAATTAAAGTGGTTGATTTATGACTAGTTTTAAAAATCTCATTGGTATCAGTCTAGACAAGATTCAACAGGTTTTTATTTAAATAAAAGAATTTAATTTAAAAAAATAACAAATAATATAGGTACTTTTTTATTTAAAATATAAGCACCTTTTTTTGTGAAATTAAGGGTAGTCCAATCTCATGTAGAAATCACTAACGACCTAAAACACTACAATGCACTATCTGGCGATGGTCTCTTTAGTTTTTGCGGCCCCCCATAAATATGCCAGATTAATTAGATATAGGTAACAGCAATATCGCATGTACCTTTGGGCCCGTCAGGGTAGAAAATAAATTTAAAAAAAAAAAAAAGGTAATAGGCAGGTGGTCACTCTACGTAGAAATCACTAACGACCTAAAACACTACAATGCACTATCTGGAGATGGTCTCTTAGTTTTTGCGGCCCCCCATAAATATGCCAGATTAATTAGATATAGGTAAGAGCAATATCGCCTGTACCTTTGTGCCCGTCAGGGTAGAAAATAAATTTAAAAAAAAAAAAAGGTAATAGGCAGGTGGTCACTCTACAAATACATTTACTCTTTTTCTATTGATAATGCATCCCAATAAATCGATCACTTTAATTAGGGTAGGTAATAAGGGCAGCGTGAAGACCATGTACCTTTGTAGGCTGTTGATGGGAAATGAAATAGGTGGGTGGTCCATCCTCAAATACATTTACTCTTTTTCTTTTGTTATCGATTGCCATAAAGTTGTATTTTTTAAAAAGGTCGTAACTTTTAGTCGTGTAATGCGATAGTTTAAAAAAAAAGGTAACTTATATTTTAAATAAGGAAAGATTTTATGTTCGTCTTCAGAGAACTTTTTGAAAAGAATGAATAAAATTAAAAAATATACCTAGTTATATTTAAATAAAATCTACGCAAAAACAAATTTTCATCACGATAGTTTTTTTAAAAAAAGGTAACTTATATTTTAAATAAAAAAGTACCTACCTATATTATTTGTTATTTTTTTTTAATTAAATGCGGCATTTTTAATTAGTTGCGTTTGAAATGAAAAATTTTTTTTGCTTTTTTTATGTACATTCTAAAAGAAAAAGTTTTAAAACACAAACATATTCAGCGCCACTATTTCAAATTCCATAAAAAAAAAAGACGAAAGTAGCTTATAATGTATCACGTACACACAAGCATACAGGTCCTAACTGGTTTAGTCGATTTGATATAAAAAAGGAAAAAACAAATACCAAAAATATCAGTTGAGTTTAAATATTTAAACGTGTAGCATATTCAATTAGACCCACATCCAGTTTAATAAAAAAGTGAGTAAATATTTTGTTTTAAAATAATTTTAAATCAAGTGTTGTAATATTTACATATATTTTGAAAATTAACATATATTTGTATATTATATATATATATATATATATATTTACATATTTTTTTATTTTAGTAAAAAAACAGCTGAAAATGGTTGACTACAAAACAAAGTATGATTTTGAACAGAAGATAAAAATAGCCGAATACGAAAAAAGAAATCTATTAAAAGAAATTCGAATGCCGCTTACATTATCAAACAGCCGATATTACATTATTGGTTTTAACCCCTATAGTGATTTCGCAATTACAGTAAAGTTGTGTAAACAAGGCCTAGAATATGACGGACTCATTTTTACAGAGAAAGAGTTTAATGAGCTTATCCGCGTTCTACCAGATGTTATTGATAATAAAAGAGATGAAGTCGAAGTTTCAAAATATTTTATTACAACTCTAGCGAATAATCGGACATTAGTAAAAATTACGGACAAATCATCAGGGAAATTTGATGTTGTCCAAAATTTTACTCTGCAAAATCTACTCAAGTTAAAAACGTTTCATGAATCAGCAGTCGCCGAATTTAAAGAATTATGCATGAAAGAGACATTTAATTCCATATTACAAGATATTGTGGTGGAGATTTTAGATGATGACAATAATCACAATTATAATACAAATATGTTCAGATGTTTTATAGAAAAACACCCTAGATATACCAATTACACGATGTGGTTCGAGTTAGTAAATAAATTTGATTATTTTGTATATAATAACATAGGTATTAAATTAAGCGCCACTCTAAATATGAATAGATTTTATGTTTAATAATAGCCGTATTAGTTAAATAAATAAATTGTATTTTTTTTTAAATATGTAGAAATATGTATGAATTTATAAATAAATATTTAAGCAAAGGTATTTTGTTTTATTAATTATTTCATTCTTTTAAAAATAAAATACTCACCTTTTATTTTTATTTTCAGATTCATAGTATGTAAATAGGTAAATAGGTAATATTAATAAATATATATAAAAACTTGTTTTTTATTATTTATTATTAGAGGGTAAAGCATAAGACATAATTAAAAAATAAATATAGAAATTATTTTATTAAATGGTATACACACAAAATATAAAAAAACAGTTTTAATATTGAACAAAAGAGGCGTATGGAAATTATTTATTATTAGAGGTAAAGCATAAGACATATAATTAAAAAATAAATATAGAAATTATTTTATTAAATGGTATACACACAAAATATAAAAAAAACAGTTTTAATATTGAACAAAAGAGGCGTATGGAAATTATTTATTATTAGAGGTAAAGCATAAGACATATAATTAAAAAATAAAATATCGTTAGACATATAATTAAAAATAAAAATAGAAATTATTTTATTAAATGGTATACACGTATACACGTTACTGTTGACACTCGTTATAATTGGATTCGCTGGATGTGTCGGAGTCGCTTGAATCGCTGACGCACCCATCCTCTATGTATGGCATATGGCATACATCCGCTCTGTTAATAAAAAAGAGTACTCTCCTCGTGCAAAAATTGCACCAGTTTTCCTCTCTTAAAATTGTATCCAATAGCTCCTCAAAGTCCAGTTCGTGTATGTGAGTTGATACATATTCATATGTATTAAAATTTTTTAGCTCATAGCTATCATCACCCCAACAATCATCACATATATTCCCATATGTGGTCGTATAGTACTTTCTTGTTACACAGTACTGCCTGCTATAGGGAATAAATAATTCAATTATGGGTCGTATAGCATGCCTATTAGTCCTGCGGCTCCAAAACATTTGTAACGCTTTCCAAGTCCAGCACTGGTTTATACTCATGTTTTGAAGGTCTCTACGTCGCACCACACTTAAATTGTCTTTTTTGTGACTAGTTATGAAGTCCATGATGCGGTTTTCGATTACCTCCGCATTTAGGATAACCGGTAAATCCTTTTGGACTATTTCCGCGACACTGTACGTTGAATTCACCAATTGCCTGCATAGAACATTCAATGATTTGGGAATATACACATTCCCCACTTTCTCACAGTACTTTGGCGATTCCACAAGTCTTTCTCTCCATACTCGGTCCATGATGTTTTGTTTTTTTTTTTTTTTGTCAAGGAACAATTTAAAAAAAGGCACTTTATATTCACACTGAATATAAGTAATAATTTCAGAAAGTTTTTCAAAAACTTCTTTATACCTAAAAATTATCCCTACCCGAAAATTACAAAACCGGCAAATTTACACCCACCCCTACCAAAAAATAAATCTGTAGCCGATAATCTATCGAAGAAAGTATACTAAGGGGGTTTGTAAATGGGCCTAGTGGAGAGGGGATGTCATCAAAACGCTTCGTGCTGTACGGTGTCGAAAAAAGTCATTTGAGTGCTACTTTCTAGTATAACGTAAGCTCTTAGTGTACGCGTATATTATTTGTGTTTTTTGTTTTTTTGACTATTGCAATGATGGCAGCCCAGCATATTGATAATATTATCTTAGAGCGTGAATACGATCATGTTATTAAGCGTTTCAATTTAACAGCAAGACGTTTTGTGTTCAGGTTTAAAGAGTTTAATAATGATCAGAATCCCATTGACTGGCTTGAGGTAAGTAATTCGATTTATTTTTGTAATAATAATTTTTTAAATCCACTTTTTAATAACTTTAATTTTTTATTTCCTTGATTTTTGATCATTTATATATTTTTTAAAAGTTTTATTAGTTTGTTAATTAATTGATTTTAGTAATCTCGTTTTATTATTAAATGAAATTTAAAAAAATATATTTTTATTTTAATAAAAAAATTGCATTTTTGAAAACTTTTAGTATTTTACTTCATTGATTTTTTTTTAATTTTCAGTTTTATTATTAAAAGAAATTTTAAAAATTATATTTTTATTTTGCAGGCTGGCTTAGACTCTTTGTTATCCTATGGCATGAGGGGTTTCAACGATGAAGATAGAGTTGGCATTGTCTTCACCAATGCTGAATTCCCTGATAAACCCTTGGCAATTTCATTAAGAAAAAAAAGCCAGATAAATGCGAGTGTTATTCTAGATATAATGGGGATGGTACTACAGAGCAACTCCAGCTTTTTCACGAACAATCAGCTCACTGCGGCCATCGACAGGATCGAACTTCCAACTGGTATGGGTAGGATTTCATTAAAAGGTATGTCGTACACGGAATTTTGCAGAAAAAAGCGTGGAATCGTAGTTGTTAATAATGACGATAATTATTGTTTAGCCTATGCTTTAGCCTTGGGTATAGCTTATCATACAAATATTGCAGATTTTAAAAAACTTAAGTCACGACCTAATCTTTTAAAACAGCGTGGTAGAGAGCTAAGCAGAGCTTGTAACGTAGATCTTTCTCACGGTGGTAATCTTGAACACATTCAATATTTTCAAGATTACTTAAAAAACGATTTTACGATTGTTGTGTATAATAATAGGAGGGGGTCGGAAACTTATTTTGAAGGCACTCGTAAAGACACTCGTAAAACAATAAATTTAATTTTAGAAGACAACCATTATAATTTTATAATGAGCTTAACAGCAACCTTCAGTTCCTCCTATTTTTGTGAAATGTGTAAAAAACGTTATAATACTAAATCAGCACATCTTAAATGTCCTTATACTTGTCCAAATTGTCATAGTTCACCGCCATGTAGATCCGATGTAGAGGAAATTACATGTAATGAATGTAAACGCACATTCAAAGGCATCGCATGTCTAAATTTACATAAGAAAAATCTTTGTTCGAAATTGCACAGATGTTTGGCATGTTTAAATAGCTACTGGATAAAGAATAAACATAATTGCGGTGAAAAATACTGCCGCACGTGTTTATGTATGAAACCTATTAGACATGATTGTTATATGCAACCCAATCTTATAAGTGATGCTAAGAAAAAATCGCTCGAGAACGATTTTTTGTTTGCATTTTATGATTTTGAATGCAAACAAGAAAAAGAATTATCCAGTAATGTATTTTTACATGAGCCAAATTTGTGTGTGGTAGAACAAGTTTGCTCTGAGTGTATTACGAATGATAATATGGACATAGATTGCAACAGATGTGGAAAGCGAAAACATATTTTTTCAAAAAACCCTGTAGAATCACTTTTGAATTTTCTACACGGATTTGAAAGGAAAAAGTTTAATGTTTTTGCTTTAGGGCATAACATGCGGTCTTACGACGGTTGTTTTATAACTAGAGAAATTTTTAAACATGTCAATAGGTGGAATCCTCAAATTATAAGAAATGGTTGCAAATTTGTTTCGATAACATGCAATAAAATAAAATTTATTGATAGTTTAAATTATATGCCCTTACCTTTAAATAAACTTCCAAGTGCTTTTAAATTTGATGAAACCAAGGGATATTTCCCGCATTTATTTAATAGAACTGAGAATAGTAATTATATAGGCCCTTTACCAGATGCCTCTTTTTATATGCCTGACTCTATGACTTTAGATGCAAGAAATAAATTTTTTGAATGGTATAATGAACAAAAATCAAACAATATAGTATTTAATTTTCAAAATGAATTAATTAAATATTGCATAATAGATGTCGAAATTTTACGGAAATCGTGTATTAAATTTCGGGATTGTTTTATAGAAGCTACAAAAATTGATCCTTTTCAAGAAGCAACCACTATAGCTAGCGTTTGTAATAAAGTATTTAGAAGAAACTTTCTAGAACCCAATACCATTGGAATTATTCCTACTGATGGGTATAGAATGAAAGATAAATCTTCTCAAATAGCACTTAAGTGGTTGTGTTGGCAAGAGAGTTTATTTCCAGGTCTTAAGCACGGCGGAAATAGTCAGGAAGTAAGGCTTAAAGAGAATCTCTTAGTCGATGGTTTTTGTGCGATCACTAACACTGTTTTTGAGTTCGATGGCTGTTACTATCACGGCTGCGAAAAATGTTATCCTCAGCAGACTTCATCTTTTCGAGATTCCACAAACAAAAATGAACAAATGTTTTTTAGGCGCGATAAAACTCAAGCTAAGCATAAAAGAATTTTAGATGCGGGATATAATCTAAAATCGATCTGGGAGTGTGAGTTTCGAAAGTTGTTAAAAACTGATGAAGACGTTATAGCTTGTGTTAATAATAATTATAAAAAATACTCCCAGCAGCCCTTAAATCCTCGCGATAGCTTCTTTGGCGGTCGCACAAATGCCGTAAAACTTCATCATAAAATATCAAACATTGGTGATGAAAAAATACACTATTACGATATGTGTTCCTTATACCCCTTTATAAATAAATACAAAAAATATCCCATTGGGCATCCTAAAATTCATATCGGTAACGAAGAGTGCAAAAAATTGTCAATGGACACGGTAGATGGTATTATTAAATGTTCGATTCTTCCACCTAGAAATTTATATCACCCAGTTCTACCGTATAAATGTAACAATAAACTTATGTTCCCCCTATGTAAAGCATGTGTAGAGTCAATGTACCAGGGGCAATGTATACACACAGAGGAGGAGCGTAAGTTTACAGGTACCTTCGTGGCCGATGAATTAAGGAAAGCTGTTTCATTAAATTATAAAATCCTTGAAATTTATGAGGTATGGGAATATAAAGTGAGTCAATTCAATCGGAAAACTAAGTGTGGAGGGTTGTTTTCAAAATATGTAGATACGTTTTTAAAAATAAAACAAGAATGTTCTGGTTGGCCGGCATGGTGCACTACAGAGACGTTAAAAGACGAGTATATTCAAGCATATTTTAAGCATGAAGGTATTCTCTTGGATAAATCAAAAATATGTAATAACCCTGGAATGAGATTTATTGCTAAATTAATGTTAAATAGTTTTTGGGGTAAATTTGGCCAGAGAGAAAATTTAATGCAAACATCAATAATTACTGACCCCCTTGAACTATTTAAGTTTTTAACAACCCCCTCTATTGTTGTTAACAATATGGTTGTTATTAGTGATGAAGTGCTTCTTTTGTGCTGGAATAAACCAGAAGAAGCAGTTCTACCATTGACAACTGTTAATGTCGCAGTGGCAGCGTATACTACGGCTATGGCCCGATTAGAACTTTACTCGTATTTAGAAAAACTTGATAGGAGAGTACTTTACTTTGACACAGATAGTATTATATTCACACATAAAGAGGGGGATTGGCTACCCCCCGTAGGCGACTATTTGGGTATGTTAACAGACGAAATAACTGAATACGGCCCTGGTAGTAAAATTACGGAGTTTGTTAGCGGTGGACCTAAAAATTACGCCTATAGAGTTTATATAGCAAATAAGAAAGAATATAAATCTATATGCAAAGTAAAGGGTATAACTCTTAATTCAAAAAATAGTGCAAACGTAAATTTTGAAACTCTGAAAGCCATGGTATGCGATAATGCAGAGCCTACATATGTACATAACAATCGTAAAATTTGTATAAAACCAAATTACGATGTAATATCGCGACCTGAGCCAAAAATTTACAGAATAGGCTATAATAAAAGGCGAAGACTAGATAACAGCTACGACACCGTTCCGTACGGCTACCAGGAAGAAATCGGCTATACCGCTGCAACTAATGGAAATAAAGAGGTAGAATTTTTTTTAAAAATAATTAAGTAGTTATATTTTATTTATTTATAGGCGGATCAAGAACTTGACGACCTATTGTTCACGTACCTAAAAGAACTTACCTCTAACCCTATAGACGATGGAATTAAAGAGGTAAACAATAATTTTTTTAAATAATTAAGTATTTATCTATATTTATTTATTTACAGACAGACCTAGTCTTTGATGACAGAGAGGCCGAAGAAGAAGAAGAAGAAGAAGAAATCCCTTTTTATATGGAAGGGTGGACATTGTAAATATTATATTATTATTTATTATTTATACTTGGACTATAATTTATCATTTATTTATATATTAATTTATTATATTTTTTTACTTACATCTGTTATTAATAATTATATAAAAAATTTTTCATTTATTTATATTTTAATTTATTATTTAATAATTATATGATTATACGTTGTTTACTTATCGAAGTTATGTATCACTTATTTATATTTTAATTTATTTTATATTAAGTATTTATTATTTATTATATTATTATAGAATTTATAATTTTTTTATATTTTAATTTATTTTATATTATTATTTATATATATATATACATATATATATTGTTAACATACCTTTGTTTTATTTATATTTTAGAAAATAATAAAAAAAAATATTTAAGATTTATGTATTTTATTTAATTTACGAAACATTTTTCTTACAGTTAAGTCATTGTTATATGTGTTTGATGAAAACATATCCAAAACATTATTTAAGGTGTATTTCTTACTTAAACACACTAAAAATACAATACAATATTGACCACAAACAGTAGAAAACAAGCTCTGGATTACATTTGGGTTGTACAGCCACTTTTTCGAGTTTTTATTTAAAAACTTTTTTATAGCATATTTAGGAGGTCTTCCATAGCTGTCAAAATAGTACCCATCACCTTTATTATTAATAAAAACAGCACACCAATGACTTCCAGGCATATAATCAGGATCTTCATTAATTACTATAGCCAATGGCTTACTTATATACCGAGGTATTTGATTTATAGGATAAACTCCCGTATGAACATGTATTGGTAAAAATCTACGTAAGTATTTGATAACTTCAGATGAATACATTACACAATTTTAACGTTTGTGCATTGAACGATCATACAGTTATGATTAAAATATTTTAGGTACAGGTGCTTTTAAAGAAAATAAAAAAAAAATTTAAGTAGCATTTATTTCAATTTTTTTTATAATATATAAGGCTAACTAATACATATGATATATCTAACTACTGTAATCAACCACTACATTTCTATTCTTATCTATTTCAATAATATTATCGAATTCAGCATAAATAATGCAATTAACTGTTTCCAAAAGTGCTTCTTTAAAACGTACTTCCACGCGTAGACTGCCATTTCGAATAAGATTCCAATGAGTCATTGTGTTTGCCGAAAGGTCAGGGGTTAAATCAAATGCTGTTAAGCAGAATCCGTCTTTATAGTTAATTCTATCAATTGATAAGCCGTTGTTTGAAAAGTGAATACCAGTGCCAGAAAATAAAGTATTATATGACCTTATATAATTATTATTATCAAAATCTGGTTGAAGCGGTTTAGAAGGAATTTGCTGACCATCAATATACAGTGATAAAAAGTTGATATCGTAGTGTTTAAAATTAAATGGGTTTTTCGTATAATCTCCGTTGAATGCTCTATTTGATACAAAACCCATAACACACCTTTTTGGTAATTGGCCCAGAAATATATTATCCAGTGATTTTCCTTGAATGCCAGAGGGTATAGTTAAAACTTTAACGTCAACCCTTGTTATAGGGTATTTAACAGGTGCTAGTTGTAAGGCTTTAGCATGTGCCAGCAATACAGACGGATTAATTTTCATTCTTCTTACTAAAAGGGTTGCATCTATGATTTTTAGTTTTGGTTCATTATTATCAGGAGCCATTAAAACAAAATTATCTCTTGATCTAACTAATTTAACGCGTAATTCTAGACCATTCATTAAAAACTTTTCCTGATTAAATAGGTCACCACTAAGACGTCCAATTAAATCTACGGTTTTTCCAGATGCTGTAAACTGGCACCTTTTTGTATGTCCTATATTACTAGCATTTATTTCATCCATTGATTTAGCTGTATCTAAATACCATAGACTTGAAGTGAGATGAGAATCTGATGCCTCCGGACCGTAATTAAGTAATGTTTCTATATATGATCTATAAGCATATGTGTTGTTCGGTGGAGAAATTAATTTTTGATTTAAATAAACATCAACTTGACTAAACATTGAATGCAAGAGATTATTTACAGGACCAATCGTTTTTTCACCCTCTGTGGCGTTTGTGTAATTTGAATTATCTTGTTTACATATTTTAGCTTCTATATGCAATAGAGTATGGGATAAATCCAAATATTCATCTCCTATACCGGGTATAACAAATTCAAGAGGTGCTTGATCCGTCAAAGAAGAAAGAGGTTTGTAATGAATCCATTGCCCAGCCTCTACACTAGTTTGCGTTGAAGGTATGGCAAATAAGTCCAGTTCACTTTTAATACACTCACAGGATTGATTATGGATGAAAGACATTGTTTATAATTTCTATTTAACCAAAAATATCTTCGAGTTTTCGTTTTTTAGTCTTGCGCGTGTTCTTACTTTCAATAGCTAATACTTTATGCTTTCTTTTAATAGCTTTCTTTCTTTTTATACGACCTGACCCCACCATTTCGTCGACTTTTTTCATAGCTTTAGCTTGTAAATTTTTTGTACCTTCGTTAAAACGTTCTTTAAAAGCAGCTTTGGGTGGTTTACTTTGTATAATATCCTTAAGAAAATTAACACCAGTATGAGCAGCCTCTGTTCCTATTGTTTTTATTCCACTTTTAACTAAAGGAAATATAGTTCTATATAATCCTTTTAAAAAACTACCTATGCCCCTCCCTTTTTGGTAATAGGCACCTTTATACACGGCTCCAACACCCGATCCCGCTTGATTCACATAATAATCGCTATACAAACACTTTACAGTCATTTTATTCTTTTAAAGTGTAGTTTAACACTGACAGTTCCAAATAAGAATGGCACTAATTCTCCGGTTTCAGTCCTTATATCAATTTCTATATTTTCAAATTCACGTTTTAAAACAGGAACATAGTGCGTCGGTGAAAATACTTTCATTTTATGACTCCCATAAACATATTTTGAATTATCCACGCTTACGTTACGAATTAATTTAGCCATAGTGTCTCCTACAATCTGAGGACTTATAATATCACAATAAATAAAAAATTGCGAAGGTAGCCCCAAAATTATGTTGGAAGGATGCGATGCATGACGGTTGTCTAACATGTTTTGATCCGGTTCAAAGCCTAATTGTAAAGCCATGTAAGTTGAAAAAGTCATAGATATTACATTGGTGTCCTCAGGAATATTTACATATACTTTATGAGTTGTTTGATCCATCTTAAAAGTTATTTTTCTTCCTATTATTTGAGTATTAGAATTTAATACTGCAAGCAGGTCATCTATGTTATCGTAACTACCTGTATTTATTCTTACTTTGTCATATACATATGTATTTGTTTTTACATTCTTTAATTCTTTAAAGTATACAATATTTTGGGTTTTTCTCACCGTGAGAAGAGAACATGGATATTGAAACTCTGTTAGACCAACTTGCCATTCTCCCTCAAGATGAATAGAATTTGGAAGTTGAGTATTAAACTGTGTTGTTTTATTGTTTGGAAAGTATTCCATAGAACTATTACTAAGTAGAGTCAAAAAAAATTCGTTTGGCATTTTTAGATTGAAGTAATATTTTCTTGAGCTAACCAACAGTTGAATTTTTTTGGATATCCTTTCCAGCTGACAAGTACTTCGCGTATGCCCCGTTTTAACCGTCTTCCTAGTATTTTATCTATTTTAAAAGCTGAATCTTCTGAATAAGTAACCTTTTGCAATTCTGATTCGTAAAAAATTCCTTTTACAGCTTCATTTTGTAAATCACATAGTTTATAAACAGTGTGTGGATGTCTTTTTATAATTTTTACAATTTTAAATATTTCCAAAGTCCAATTAGATTCGTAACCTTTTTCGAAAATATGTTTATACTTAGAAATTCTAACAAAATCATTTAGTTTAAATTTATTTTTATCTACGTTTTTAAGTGTTACACGAAAAGCATTATTGTATACTTCTAATATATTATTTTCGTTGACTTCACTTGGGGCCATTTTAATCGTACTATGTTTTGTTTTGTTATAAGTATCTACTAAAGTATCTATCACATTAATGTATTCATAGCTATTATTATATGTAAAATACTTAAACATTTTTTCTTTAAGTGTCCTGTTAAATCTTTCTATAACGCTAGCTTTTATATCAGGATTTTCAGTTTGTATATGATTTATACCATACTTTTTAAAACACTTTTTTGTATCCGGCCCTAAAAATTCACCACCTTTATCCGATTGTAAATTAATAGGAATTCTACTAGAGCTTTTAAATATATCTTCAAATGCCGATGCAACATCCTTTGAACATTTTGTTTTTAATTTTCTAACCCATGCATATTTACTAAATACATCAATAACTGTTAGTATATAGTTTATATTATTGTTAAATTTACTTAAGCTTTTTAAATCAATTAAGTCTGCCTCAAATAAATCATCAATATTTGTTACATGATATTTATTTCGTTTAAATTTTTTAACAACAGGTTTATGTAAAGTATATGTATCCTGGCTTTGTAGCCATTTTTTAATTTCACTAACACTAATGTCTGGTTTTGCTTTTTTTATTTTCTTTATAGATGAGAAACCGGCTATGTGTGCAGGGTTATAATATATGTTATTCATCGTCTACCACTTTTCCCAATCTAACTTGGTCCCTAATGACTTTGTTTTTCTTCTTTTTTGGTTAGATGATTGTTCTTGTTTCAATTTTAATGATTTACTAGATTTTTTCTGCTGCTTAGTCGAACTTATAGTCCCTTCGGTTTCATTTGTCGAAGATTCACGACTCGACTTTGTTGGTGTAGTATAGTTTATAAAATTATCCAGATATGCTTTACTTTGAATAAATTCCATAGGAGTGTTTATTTGTTTTAAACTATGTACTATTAGGTCTTGATTTTTTTTATCCTTAGGCTGACGGTTACGT